CCAGCTTATACAAAGAAGTAATACACTGGGATGTTTGCCAATGCATTAATGTGCTATTTTTTTGTTTTACAAAATTCCATGTTTAAAGCTTAAGTCGCGAATTTTTATCCGTATGCGCACTATGTATTTATCCTACTCTGACTTCAAAAGTGCGTACATTGTATTCAAATCAATATGAACGAATGACAATTTTTTTTAATTGTTTGTAAGTATACATGCATTCATGTATATGTATGTATGTATGCATCCATAATTTCCCTGCAGGGAAAGCTACTAGTTGTGAGCTGGAATGCTACCACTTTGCTTTTCAGTCCAACTAGTTCACGTTCCATCCTTTTTCAATGTTAGCGACTGGTATTTTTAACATGGCGATGTCCTACGAGATGTCAATTGTCAGGCTGTGCATCAGCTTCTACTAGTAGAAATACTAGTAGCATCATACCAGTTGATGAGATCGTGTGCCAATTCTCCCCCGTGAAAAGCATAACGTCAATGTTTTTGCAAAACGGCCTATCTTACGGCACTCAAGTTTTACAGGAGAGCGAAAAACGGTTTATTCTTTAAAGGCATTGCCTTGATAGCTATTATTTTACAAAGCTGTCGTTTTAATAACGATTTAACGATTTTTATGCATAAATCTCGATGCCTGGAGTTCAGGGTTACCAAATGTCATTTTTGTCACAACGGCAATTTAGGCGGTTTTGCAACTGGTCGATGGGCGGTTGCAAAAACATCGACGATAAGTATGTCATTTTGCTCGCGGCTCTCCAACAGTCGCAATAACCGACAGAGCAGAGAGTGGTACTCCTGAGGTCCGCGGTTCATTTCCTAATTTTTTATTATTATAATTTTTTTTTTATTTAATTTTTAAATTTAATAAAAGAAATATTTTTATTAATTGTTTGTTTAATGGCACCAGTATTTCTTCCCATATGCATGTTTTTTCTGCAATGAAAATAGATTTTCAAATTTATTATTTATGCTCACCTCCAAGCGGACTCAAACCTGCGTTCTCAGCACCAGAACTGGTAGTCTTCATGCGACACCGCAGCTGACATTTGAAAGAAAAGCAATTAATTTCGTTTTATGGTTGGTTTTGACAATTTAAAGGTAGATGGCGCTGAACGCTTAAGTTCTTCGAAATTGTCGAACTGTTAGGCCATCGCTTTAGCACATACTAGTAAATGAACTGGTATTTTTACTAACTGATTTGGCTTTTCACTGCAGGGTTAAAATGCATGTAAGTACGTATTTAAAATTGTATAAATGCTCGCAGATACTTTTGTGCCTCAGCCCTTTGCATCTCTTCGTGCTGCATGGCCTTTTAATGACAGCGTCGTCAGTATTCCACAATGCTTTTGTTGGGGCTTTACTCGCAAAAACATACACACACTCCCACATATATACATTAGGGCTGGGAATATTCGTATAATCAGATATCCGGATATTCGTTAAGATATGCGTGTATGTATATGGATACACTCCCAATAGTACCATAGATACTCAGATAATATATATTCATTCATTTGGCTACGCAGATATCTGGATATTTAAATTTGATAACATCACAAATTATTATACCCAATTATATTTTCTTCTGTAAGCCTTCTTTAACCTCTTTAGTTTGGTACCCATATTGCAATATTTAACTTATCTTTTCAATTTGATTTTATTAAAATTTTCAAACAAGTGGCAACCCTCTTCAAAAATAATTTTGGCTGTAAGCCTTAAAGCATTCGAGTATTATAGCGTAAAAAAATAAAAAATATTCAAGCCGTTTTCGAGTTTTATGGCTGCCGTCTTATTGAACTTAACATTTATATATACCAAAAATATTGGCACAGAGAATTTTTCGCTAAGTATGTAAAGTTTTTTATTCTAATAAAAAACATAAAAATGAGATTCCTAAACTTTCAGAAAATTCCGTAAACTTGCAACTTTCTAATCAGATTTTCACGCAGTTTCTGCCATGCAAAGAATGTTCGACAAGTTTTTTTGGGTGTAAGAAAATAACACCGTCCGCAAAAAATTGCCGAAAATACACGTGATAATAAGTGTTGTTACAAAACCTTGGCAAAACGCACTATTATTTTTTTTTACAAATTTCAGATACATACATATATTTATATATGTGCATTAGACTGCATTATTATATTTGAAGACTTCCGTCAAAAGCATTTGAAAATATATGTATTAACATTTGCGTGATCTGGACCGATTTGAAAATACCTCCAAAAATGACGTTTTTCAATGAATAAAAATAGTTTCTCTAACAAAATTATTAAATTTTTTTTTCAATGGAATCGTAATAATGAGATCTTTATCCATAAGAAACTCCATTTTTGGAAGTATTTTCAGATCGGTCCAGCTCACATAAATCTTAATATTTTCCAAAATATTTTGGTGG